TCAAATCTTTAATTGAATTTGAATGTTTTTCTGTTCTGTAACTTTTCAGTCGGTTTTCTTAATAAAGGTGTTATGCTACCATTGTCTCTGATTCTCCCTAGCCCTTTCAATGGGCCAACATAGCTATCTGATTATTGTTTTTTGTCTGCTTTGGGTAGACATGACTGTGCTTGACGTGGAGAGTCCGCGTGAGTGTGTATACCTCTTTAGAAAGGACTTGAGTCGACGGAGAGAGTTTAACAGGGCTAATTGGATCTTGCTGTGAGAAGACAGATCAGGTAAATGCCATTAAGCAGGTAGTGAGAAGTGATCGGAGAAGTAGAAAGCTGGTCCTCACGGGCAGGAAAAAGTAGAAGAGGCTCCAAGAAGAGCCTCTTATAAGCTCCTGCAGGAGAGCAGCAAGAAGAATAGAAGAGAGCTAATAAGCCGCTTCTTGGTAGTAGCCTGAGAGAATCACAAAGCTGAGACTCTCTATTGTATGGAAAACAATGCCGAGGACGTTTGTACAGCATAAACCCGATTTCTGATTTCTATTTAGCTTTAGCACTCTTACTTTAAAGAGCCCCATTCTCAACGAAGAATAAAGTAGCCCTTACTGGAGATACGCATGGTTTCAGGAACACAATGGTAACTAGGCAAACTAGATAGATCCATTCCTTTAAGAGCTCTGTAGCAGCGAAAGACCAGGCAGGTGCAGCTATGCCTGTATCACCCAGCCCTGACACTCGTTTTGCCTGCTGAGAGGCAAAATGGGACCTAGTTTAAATTTTATTTTATAATCGAGAAGAAGCAAGATCAGAGCTAAAGAAACATTGAACTGCTAAACACCAGCTCATAGATCAGTAGGCTTCTTTTGTCGACTCTTCACAGGTGAAAAGTGTGCTAAAAACAGCAGTGGATTTTAGAGGTGGGAGCAGAAATGAAATATATAGGAAGCATACAGGCTCTTCTCTACCTTGTTTGGCGATACGATGAAATGTCTACAAGTTGTTACTGCACTCATGTCTGCAGCTGGTTTTTTTCCCTTCAGCAGTCATTGTGTGATCAAAGCATCATATCTAGAATATGTATCATCTTTTCCTCTCTGCGCCTTTCCAGTAGTGCTTTAGGGTTGATGCCATGCTTTTCTAGGAAGGAGCCACACTATAGTCTGCCATCGATAAAGACTCCAGGATACAGTGAAACCTGTGCAACAAAGGTGCTAGATGCACTTCTGTGGGAACCGAATTCCACAATTTAGGGGCAGCTACAGAGAAAGTCCTCTCTTAGGTCAGCATCTCTGCGGATGGCAGAACTACCAAGAGATGTCAAGGAAATAAACAACTTTCTGACTTTTAGAAGACATCTGAAGGAAGCCCTGTTTAGGGACATTTTTAATGTTTGATGTCTTATCGTGTTTTTAATATCCTGTTGAGAGCCGCCCAGAGTGGCTGGGGAGTCCCGGCCAGATGGACAAGGTATAAGTAATATATCCTGCTCCTCCTCCTCCTCATCTTGGTAGTCAAGATAACTCCACAATTTTACCTTTTACCTTTTACCTTTTCTATGCTCATATCCAGTGTTTGTTGTTTTTTTGAGGAAAAAAGGCTATGGTACTCACCATGAAGTTGTTACAGTAAGTGCCACATTTGGGGGAGGGGGAAGGTGCCGGGGGAAGGTATTGCGTACCTTTGAGTACCCACAGAAAAAAAGCACTGCTTATGTTCACTTCCATTTATATAAGTGAATTGGCCTGCTTTGATGGTATCCTTATCCATTGGCTTGAGCGCTGGGCTCTGAGCCCAGAGAGGTGAATTATCTGTAAGACTTGGATATTTGCCACCTGTGCCCTCAACTGGGCAGGTGGAGTGATGGGCAGTCCTAGGCAATGTGACGAATGCTGCTTTGTGTATAAAGAATGTGTGCACTTTTGCCCGGGCACAGACAAGGCATCTTCTTGTTGCAGTGTCCGTCCCGCGTCTCTGCAAGAGAAGGCTAGGAGACCTGGCCGGCTGGCAAGCTGTAAGCCTTTCTTAATAAAGTATTGCAACTGGCCATTCTGATGCCTTTGGCATACCTGCACCCAACCACTCCCATCAGCTCACTGTTGGGTCTACAGTATCGAACACATATCATATCATAAAATCTCTGTCATAAAGCACAGTCTTTATTAGGCATAATTGTGTGACCAACTTGTAAACTGCTTCTGTTGTCCCCTGCTGCCTTTCATAAAACAGTTTGCATTACACATACATTTATTTCTGAGTATCCAGTGTACTTCAAACAATGAAAATGGTACTGTAGGGGTGGGTTTTTTGGTCCCCCCCTCTTTCTTCTGTGTAGACAGTTTGCTAATCGTACCCCATGCCCTGCAGACATATCTGCCTTCCTGTTCAAAGCTGAGCTGCGGCCGTGTAGCTCTTTATTCTTCAGACAACATGTCTGCTTCTGGGCCTGCAAAGATTAGTTCCTTCTCCTGGGCCCAGTTTTCAGCAATATTTGCATTATCAAAATCCATAGGAGGTATTGGCCCGGTGCTAGAGGCCATACCTGCTGTGTTATTTTCAGCTTTTAACTTTGCTTTTCTTCTGACACCTTGTTATACTTCTGGTCTTTGAGGGGGGGAAAAAACTTTTATTCAGCCTTCTAGTACTTTCAGCATGATGTGCATTCCAGTGCCCCCTCTGGTAACATGAAATAATGCATTCTTGACTTGTCCCAATAATACAGAAGTAGTGAGGTGAGTATGGGGAAGATGATGTCTCTCTTTCTAACTTTCATATATTCTTCGGCTTTTAGGAGGCAATTCTAAACTTACAGCAGGAACGAAACCATGTTTTGTAAATGCTAAGATCTAGGAGGTGCCCTGTCATGGACTGGTTGGAGGCAGAGGAGTGGCGGGAGGAACCAACTGGGAAACCACCAAGGGAAGAAGGCTCAGAGCCAGGGGGTTGGTGGTGGGACAACCATGGGTGGTCAGAAGGAGAAGAGGGACACGGCAGGGAAGTGGAGGCATTGGAAGCTGAAGAGGTAACAGAGCTTAGTGGCAGAGAGAAGTCTAGAATCAGAGGCAGAAGCTGAAGAAGGCAAGTGGGATGAGGGAGGCCAAGAGGCAGAGATGAGCCAGGCTGCTGAAGAGTCACAGGTGTCTCCCCCTCCTGCTGCAACAAGCTCTGTCTCCCGGAAGAGGAGAAGTGGACGCAGACACAGTCTACAATTGCTTGGAGAAAGCCTGGGGGGTGGAGCTTAGATGGCTGTGGGGAGATGGGACTTTCAGTCTCAGCAACTGATTCTCATGGAGTAAGACCACTGGGAATGAGCTGCTAGGCTCATTAGACCCGACATTCAACCAAGTTCTGTGGAGATTGTGTTTTTGCTAATAAAGAGTTCACTCCAACTTTTAACTGTGTGATTACCAACCAACGTGCCCCTGTGACTTTAATTTTGCTGGGTGACACAAGGGACCAACTATTTATGAAGCAACCAAATCATCGGGCAAGAAGGAGGAGCATGCTCTTCAGTGCAGGGGGAAACAAGGGTCTGGATGCAACTGAGCCAGATAAGACATGTTTCCCTTTCACCACCCTTCTAGAACATCAGGGCAGGACACAAGGAGTGACAGGAGATGGTGGAGAACCTCTCTGGACCTGAGCAAGCTGAAAAAGCCTACTTCAGTTTGAGAACTACTGCCAAGGTTGTGTTTGTTTGTAGCTTCAATGACAGAGGGTAGGTGCCACCTCCATGGACAGAGATCACCCTCCAGTTTCCAACTTTAGTGGTTGTTCACATAAGCAAACGAAGAAAGAGAGTGGAATGAATTGTCTAATTTTCAGAAATTGCATATATAAACTGTGGGTGTGAGGTATGATGAAAACAAAAAACAGTGCAAGGTTAGTTTTTGTCACTCAGAACTGAGAGCATAATGAATATTGCTGCAGCTGAGGTTTTGGCTAGATCTCACATCAAATGTCAGTAGGAGGGGATATGCATGGAGAGTAATAAACAATAACAAACCCAAAAGTGCTTTAAAACGATATTTCAGAAAATCAAGGGCAAAAAGCTCCCACCGAACAAGCAAATGAACAACTTTTAAAACAAGCACCACCGTGTCTTTTAACATCAACAGATTAGTGGTTGGTAATCATTATGCTATCTCAGGAAAGGAAAACAGTCAAATTCTCTATTTAGTCTTTCTTGAATACTACACTTGTGGCCCTTCTTCATTACAAACAAGAGACTTCCTGCTTTGAATTATCCACAGCTACAATTTTATAAACCATGTTCCACAACCCTCCTTGCCGAGGAACCCAGAAGAATTAAAAGAAAGTGTAAGCAATTAATGGTGTGATACCATACAAGTGTCAAGAACAGTATGGCTCTCTGTCTCACTCCTTGCTGAAAACCAAACAACTCAACAGGATAAAACTCAGCTGGAAACATTTAAATTAGGTAGTCTCTCTTTCTTTGTTTTCTAAACTTGCTGTCACTTGCGTCCCCCCATCCCGTGACTTTTAAATATTTAATCACAGAGTAAATGATCAGAGTGCCCAGCACAGTCTACAGAAAATAAATAGTAATTTCCCTCTCTCAGCTGCGTCTTCATTCTCCAACTCTGCATGTTGTGTTTATAGCCTTCTCCTTATCTTTTCTTTCGCTGCCATATCACCAGAGAGCTAACTGAAGCCCTCTATCATGCAACGACGAAGGCAGACATAAACCTTTGAACGTGAACATTCCTGCAGATTTCGGCACCAGAGTTTTTCTATAACCCTGACGATATTTTTTATGGGAAATCTATAATGATTGTAGATGAAAATGCATGGCATCGATCCATACTGGCACAGCTATGATGCCAAGTGGTTCATTAAAAAGAATTTTCTAAAAGACATCCCAGAAGTGTTTATCTGACATCTGGCCTTTAAAGCTTGAACCTGGGTTTTCCTCGGTTTAACAGAAAATACTGCTTTATAAAATCCCCTTTGGGAATTTGATATTTTTAAAGCCAGTTTTATTATCTGTACCTTTTTCCTTGCAAACGTTCTCTCCTCCATCTGTTGAGCTGTTTACAACGGTAGGTTTTGCCTCATCTGTTTTTCAAAGAGAAAAATTACACTTATTAGATTATAAATTGAGTTTAGTAATGATTGTAAACTGTTACACCTGCTCTCAAATGCATATGTTATTCATGTCATTAGCTAAGGCCTTTGTCCTTTTCTTCCATGGGACAGTAATATAGATACAAAGGAATGATGTGTAACTACTTCGCTTATTTGACCGATTCTTCCACAAAGTAAGTGCATTTTTACTCATTCTAATTCCTAGCACTCTTACATATTCTTAGCATGTTTTCATTCCCCATTTTGACACTTAGAAAGATGTTCATCTTGACATTTGCTGCTTCTTTTTTGACTCCAGTATCAAAATAAACAAAGCCTAAAGCACACACTTCATAGAAAAGCCAACTTTCTGTACAATATTGTTACAAAGGTTGTGTTCAACTCCCAATCTGTGCTGAGAAGTAGCAAGAATTTGGGGGTTCCAGGAGCTCATTCAGGTTCGTGTTTCCATTGGGAATCAAGATGTGATGGTGACGGTCGTTTCTTTAATAAATATGGTTTATTAACACATATTTACAACCTGGGTGCAGATGGAGGGAGGGACAAACAGTTCTTATAAAAATATGAATACTATGCTCCATTAACATATACAATGCATTTTGAAGATTTGCAAAATGGTGTCAATTTAACTCATCAAAGAGTAGCCCACAGTTTTCCTGGCCATTCTTGTTTCATTCTAACATAGGTATTTTCCACTATCTTTTCATTTAATTGGTGGAAAGCAACTTGGGTGCAATTTTTAATTGAAAAATTACCCAAAGGGAAAGAGTTAAGAAGCTTCTCCTTCCATTTAGACTGCAGCATCTGTGGCTGCACCTTGTAAAATAAAAAAGAAAGAAAAGTGTGTGGGGGGGGGACACACATGTGACTGACAGCTCAGGAATGAGCCCCGTTGTTCAATGGCCATTTGATGGACCTTTGGAGACTATTAATTTGGTATGTCTTTATTATTGGTTGGTTAACATGCAGGCCTGTCATTTCTTTCACTGGACTGTGTTTGAATGTAATGGTTTTCGTTTCATATTATTGCCAGCTGATGAAGATTTATCATTGAAACCGTTCATTATCCTGGAAGAACTGTACTGTCTGCTGCTGTGCTCAGAGCACCCATTTGGAGCACCCATCAACTCACATTTGTAGGATATTGTGGAAAGGCATTCTGCCTCCATTTCAGTGATCTTTGACAGTGACTTACCACTCCTACCATTCCTGCTCATGGAACATTTATTTGATTCTTATCAGTTTCTGACTCCATGCACATATTATACAACTTCTGTTTATGAATTTTTAAACAGTACAGTGGTACCTCGGGTTACAGACGCTTCAGGTTACAGACTCCACTAACCCAAAAATAGTACCTCGGGTTAAGAACTTTGCTTCAGGATGAGAACAGAAATTGCGCGGTGGCAGCAGTGGGAGGCCCCATTAGCTAAAGTGGTGCTTCAGGTTAAGAACACTTTCAGGTTAAGAATAGACCTTCGGAACGAATTAAGTACTTAACCCGAGGTACCACTGTATAGTGTTATAAACATATTCTCAGTATATTATTAGCTGACGTGTTGCTTGTTGTTGTTCAGACCGTTTTGTTCAATGGCAGTTATTCCTAGTGTGTATAGGATTGCAGCTTGATAGTGGCAAACCTATGTCTGCAAGCTTTCTCAGGAGTAAGTCTCACTGCGCTAAATGGGATTTGAAAAGTGAGAATAGGTTTGCAGCCTGATGGTCAAATTTGTTCGGCTATAATGCTTCCTATTTTTAGACGGCCGTGCCCTCCACTCAATTGCACACCAGTGCTTTGCACAACAGCTGAGGTCTTTGGACCTCACAGGATAAACTGCAGCCCCAGCTTACCGTGGGGTGGGCTGGGGAATGCAAGTTTAATAAACCACTGTGGCACACTGCTAAGACAAGCGGCACATGCTTGCTTTAAGTGGAGTCGCCATAATCATCAGAACTGCAATCAGTGGCGGAGTTACCTGCATGGGCACCCAGAACGGCAGCCATGCCATGCACCGGGTGTGTGTGTGTGTGGGTGTAGTGCAACTCATGCAACACGTTGGCAATTTATATAGAACAATAATTATACATACTTTATCAACCTTCTGAGAAAAATACAAAACATTAAACAAAGCCACAAAGACTTGCGAACTACCCAGCCTAAAATGAACTTATAATGTCTGGTTTCAATAGCTTTTTCAAATGCTTAACTCAGTCTTTTGGATAAGTTCATGAAGATACCAACAAAAGGTAAGTTCGATGATATTCACAATACCGAAAGCTGCTAGTAGAATTGTAGATAGATGATAATAAAGTTGTAGACAATGAAGTTGTAGACGATGAAGTTGTAGACGACAGGGTGTCGGCATTTTGCACCTGTTTCGCCCTGGCAGTCCAAGTAATCAAAAGGCCGCCGTTCGCCCCCGATGGGGCCCTTTAACTGGGGCTTGCAGGTAGCACACTCCCAATATAGTTTTTCGGGCTTCTTCAGTAGTCTAATCTCAAAGTCTTGATATGAATATTGATATTCAATCTTATAGAGAATACTCTTTCTTGGCTTAATCTTAAGAGACTGATTTGATGATGTGCACTGGGAGGGGGGAGCGTGATGCTCCACGCGATGCAGCCTTTTTGTCACTCCCCTCAGAGATGGCACCTAAGGCAGGCTGCCCCCTTCCTATGCCCCTGACCGTAATACCTCAAGGACCGCCTCTCCCCATATGAACAGACCTGTGACCATCATCTGAGGCCCTTCTTTGTGTGACTCTCCCACAGGTCATTTCTGAAGCAGTTCCCCGTTTATGGGATGCTCTCCCCAGGGAGGTTCACCTTGTTGCCTTCATTCCATATCTTTAGGTGTTAGGCAAAAATGTTCCTGTATAACCAAGTCTTTGGCGGATTAAACTATCTATGGCCTTTTAAATGTGCACAGGAGATGTTATCTGGGGTTTGTTTGGTTCTTATTATGATATGGATTTTGTGTTATATTGTTATGCTGTAATCTTCAGATGAAGATTATGCCCTCTGATCTTCAGATGAAGGGTGCTACATGAATTTAACAAATAAAAAAAGGGGGAATCAGTGTATAAAATTAAGTATGTTTTTGTTCACCAAATATGCTAGTAGAAACGATGGTGCAAAATGCCTGCAAATCATATGTACACAGTGTCAGTTTGCATTTTTTGGTGCAGAGGGTATTGATCTGATGTGTAGAGATCTTTCCTATTCCACTCAAATCAAGAGGATTCTGGAAGCTTCTCTGTGTGGAAGAAGCAAGCAGAAGGTTCCTGATTTTTGGGTTATTCCTTCAGAGAAGCTGAGTACAGCTGGCTTAAACTGTTTCTCTTATCTCTTTCTGTCAAAGTCATGCTGACTATAATAATAAGGCCAGAAGGAGCCTGGGTTTCACTTTCTCTTTCTATCTCTCTTCCTTCTGGTGTGGGGTTCTGTACATAAGTATGCTTAGTGTTAAGGTTTGAGACTTATTATAAGTTATTGTAAGTTTAAGTCTGCTGCAACTGGATTTCTTACAGACAGTGCTAATCCTGAATGTATTGGATTTGTGACCATTATGCTCATTTGCCTTCAGTAGCAGTAAAGCTCTGCTGGATGAAATACAATTGCCTCTGGAATATTTTTTTTGGGGGGGGGAATCCTGCAACGTGTTTAAGTTGTTACTCTGCTAACTATACGTTGGAATCTGCTCTGGATCAATATTGAGTAGAATCCATGACACACAGTGGTACAGATTGTACCAGTGTTGGGCAGACAAAGGAAAAATGGCAGACAGAAGCAGCCCAGTGTGGCACTCAATATTAAATGTCTCATGTAAATGTTAAGTCTACAGGTGATTAGATATCATTGCTTGGAGAGAGGACATGACAGCAGGAAATCGTATGTGCAAGACTTCAAGTGGCATGTCTCATGTCAGAAAACACATGCAGTGCTCATTCCCACATGAAAGAACAGTTGAGCAAGACGCTCCAATGCACAACATCAACTTTGTCCTTTATTTCAAGAGCTGGCAATAAGACAGTAGGGGAGAAAGAAGTTAGGTGTACCTAGATCATAACTCCAATCATTAAAGGCCTGGCCCTTATTCTCTAGACATTCTACCTGTGACATATAAAAAGCTATACTTTTCAGGCCCATTTCTAACATTTAGATTCGATACAGCAAAATGAAAACCACATCTTGGCAGGATTTGAATGGAACTCTTGCCATTTTAAAAAAATAAAATGAGATTTAAAATGAGTCCCAATGAAAACTGAGTGCATGACTGCACATGTGTAGATGCTCACTAAGCAGGCATAAAAAAAAACCAGCCTAAAGATGGGTTGATAGATAAAATCAGCTTAAATCAGAAAGCATCAAGAGAACATTGCAACTGTGAATAAATAGTTGGATAATCAGAGTCAGCAGAATTCTATGGCAGAAGGGTGATAGAGTTTCATACATAGTGCTTCTCCTGCGGACCATAACAAGGGGCAGGAATGGAAGGGGATTTTGCTGTAACATAAATTCAACTCTTTAGAAACAGCCACAATGCCGTATACACAGACCAAATGACTCAGTAATGTAGGCTGGATAGCTTGGCTGCTTCGCTCTACTGCATTGAGTGATTGGACCTCTCCTGCTATAGCTTCCAGGTATTAATAAATGCTTTCAGAGCTGATAGAAAAGTTTTCACTAAAAGATGGGTCGTGCTACCTGAATTAAATATGTGCAAGCAACAGAATATACCATTAGTGCTGGTTAGGTGGGCCAGACAAGATGAAGAGTATGCTATTTGAAGTACATGAAAAATAACCCAATGTATAATGCAGCAGGGGGATAAGGGCTTTCAAAGCAATTTTTACTTGTTACAGGGTAGTTACTTTGATAGTTTCGCCGTGCTGAGGCCACTTTGGGCAGCTCCCACCCCACAAAAACCTAAAACCTAAAATAACAGGAAAGGAAAATAACCCGCTTTGAATGGAAGCATGACGGTTTTTTCTATAAAAAGTTCACTTTTCAATGTGTAATTCAGAAATTTTAAACATGGGGTGGTTTGAACTAAGATTTACTCAGAGTAGATCCCACTAAAGTGACTGAAGAGGACTAAGCTATGTCCACTGATGTCAATGGGTCTACTCTGAGTGCAACCTGGTTGACTGACACCCACTGTTTATTCCTACTGCTTTTATGAGCTTTGAATGATGCTTATTTTTCAAGGTTTGAATTTTTGTTCACCGAATCTTTCTGAAATGTCAGTAATCCAATTTGTAAAGCAGCACGCAGAAAAATTGTTACTTAGAAGCTAAATATACATGATAAATTGTAGGTTTACTAAAGGCAGAAAAGCTCCTTCATCTCCTTCAGTTTATTTTCTCCACATTCCTTTCCTTTGAAGTATGAACCTTATAAGACACTGCTGTAAACATTTTCCATTTACAGGGTTTCTAGGATCTATTCCACCTTAAGAAGGGAATGTAATGTGCTGCCAGTTACTAACAGGAAAGACTGCATTCCTGGGCTGGAAGGAATACATTCATTCATAATGAATAGGGCTCTGGTCTCCAATGGGAGAACTGCACAAGCCCCGACTTAATCCGGTGAAAATGTACAAACGTTTTCAGTCAATAGCATTGACTAGGATTATTGTTCACCAAGGTAGGGAAACCCTGAGTGAGAGAATGCTTTAACAGAGCACAGCACAACACAAACCTGCTTCTTCACTCTGACTCTCGATTTCATCGGTACTTTGCTTCGCCTCTGTGACGTTGTCACCTGCCAGAAACAACGACAAAAGTTATGAAATATAGTTCATTGGTTAATCAGGCAACGTGGGAATAACTGCAGCCAATAAATCTGCTGATTTATGGCAGGATCTGTAACAAAAAAGGAGGATATTCAGAAGTGAAAAATGGCAAAAGTAAATAGTTAACAATATTCATTTCCCTAACAGTGTGGCGGATCGAAGCAGCTTGCAGCATTTGACAGCACTGCCTGTAATCCTATACTCATTTGTATGTGCTTTACTGGCCTCCATAAAGACTCCATACAAGGCAGGATAATTTTCAGTTGTTTTCTTTCTATGCACCAATGGAAAGTACTTCCATACATGTTTGGGGAACACTGCCAATGTCATTCAGCTGTTGCCTTCCCCGACTTTCTCAGCGGCTCTGGCCGATCCCCAAATCTTTAGGGGTCACAGGGGCCTTGCTACTGAAAGCATCCTTGCTTGAGTGGAAACCACCTTGCACTCTTTTGGACCCAAGCCATGCTCTCTGTTGCTCCTCCAATAAAAGTATAGACCACTCTAGAAAATGTCTTAATATAGCTACATTTTTGAAAACACGGAAATCTCATTAAAATCGAGGCTACGTAGCATGCAGAAATCCTGGGTAAAACTGTCAAAATGTTCACCTTGCATCTGAACTCTTCAAGATGCTCAACACGTTATAAAAAATGCATGACAAACGACTTGGAAGGCGGTGTGAGGCGGAAAGACAAAATGCAGCAGTGTGGCTAAGTTTCGCTGGCTGGATCGCCCTCCCTGGCTTCGAGTGACATTCTTTCCCCTGCTTCTTGAATCCCAGAAGTAAAGACATAAGCATAAGAGGATGCTATGTGGAGAGCACCAAGTTCCTGAACCGTAGCCTGAATGAACCAGGTAACTGCTGTTTCCACTAGTCTGGAACCCCTGAGCTCAAATGGCCATAATAATAAGACAGCAGAGTCATTGCTTGAACAACATTGCCAAACTGTGTGTGTGAGAGACAGACAGAGAGCGCTGAATAGGAATAGGTATAAAGGGAAATGCTAGAAATTTATCTAGAAAATGAACTGAGTGAAATTCATTTGCAGATGTACATCAGCTGATCTTGCAAAAGGCTTGGGAACGATCAAACATCAATCCTCCCTCTCGTGCTGCTATGATTGTATCTCCTGCCCTGCTTCATTTTCGGTATTGCAATTCATATACCCCATTCCTTTTCCACGTCTGTGCCTTAACACCTGAAAGCCCACACAGCACAGAGAAGCATGATAACAGCTTTATACCAGGGAGAAAGGAAGGAAGGAAGGAAGGAAGGAAGGAAGGAAGGAAGGAAGGAAGGAAGGAAGGGTAAATGTCCACAAAGGGAGCATTTTGCATTTAACAGAATTGTTTATTCAGCTAGTAGTCATTAAAAACAACCGGTTTTCTCGCTCTTTTAGCTTCTTTGTAGTCTGCACATTTAAAAAAACCACCAGATGGAGCTAGTGTAGAGGACTTAATTTCCCCCCCCCTCCCTCCCAACTACAGATCCTGCAGTTACATTCAGATCAGCACTGGGGAAAGATTCTCAACTGGTATAAATCAGTGCCCTGGCATTACATTCAGTAGAGTCATGCTGGGGACCCTTGGACCTTTAGCTGACTTATAACATCTCACACTGATTTCAGCTGACCTAAATGGATGGCAAGCTCTAGTAATTTCTTAGTACTTCAGTGGTTTTCAGCCTGTAAAATAAATAAATAAATAAAAAATAACATGTGGATGATCATCAGTCTTCAATAAGAGCTATATCTTTAGCACACCACAACTGATGATGTGTACAAAGGAAAGTGGCACAAATTTAAAATAGAACAACACTAGAAAGTAAATATTTATTTTGCATTGTATTCAGTGTTACCTATTTCAGCAATGGGCTGTAGCCAATGTTAGTTCTACTCAGAGTAAATGCACAGCTCAGTCAGTGCAGGAGTATTAAATAGGCAGCGTAGGCACCAGCCTGTAAGCCTTTTAGGGCCCCCGCAACAATGGATCCAAATAATATTGATTTGATTTTGAAAGAAAATCACAATCAAGCTTTCTTAGTTCAATGCTAGGGTCTTCCCAAGATTTTGACCGCCTAGCAGCCTTTCTCAACCTGTGGGACCCCAGATGTTGTTGAACTACAACTCCCATCACCCCTAGCTAGCAAGGCCAGAGCTCAGGGATGATGGGAGTTGTAGTCCAACAACATCTGGGGACCCACAGGTTGAGAACCGCTGGCCTAGGGGCCTCCACAGGGTTTATTCCAGCACTGAGGGTGGTAACAAAACTAACACATCCCATCAGTGCAAAGGCTTTCATTTGTGCATTGAGCCTTTCCCCACCTCTGTGTGTCCTCATCAAATCTGCTCTGGAGGATTGGAATAACCCCCAGAACAAATTTAAGGGTCACGGGGAGGAAAGGGTTCTATTCTGCAAGTAGAAATTACAGTGGTGCCTCGCAAGACGAAATTAATCCGTTCCGCGAGTCTCTTCGTCTTGTGGTTTTTTCGTCTTGCGAAGCACGGCTATTAGCGGCTTAGCGGCTATTAACGGCTTAGCGGCTATTAACGGCTTAGCGGCTTTAAGAAAAAGGAAACAAACTCGCAAGAACTCGCAAGACGTTTCGTCTTGCGAAGCAAGCCCATAGGGAAATTCGTCTTGCGGAACGACTCAAAAAACGGAAAACCCTTTCGTCTAGCGAGTTTTTCATCTTGCAAGGCATTCGTCTTGCGGGGCACCACTGTACTGTGCTGATGGGAGGCTTACTTAGAACTGCATTGGATACAACCTTCAGCAACCCATGAGCATGACTAAATTACGCTAAGTAGGACTAAACTTGGATACAACCTAATACCTTTTGTTGTGCCTTAATGGCATATTTCAGAAGCCATGCTATATGATGGACTTTTTTTGGCCAATATTGCTAAATTTAAGCATTTTTAATATAGTTTTAGGATTGTTCTGTTTGTTTATTCATTTAACATCCTGCACCTTAATCATGCAAGTTTATTCATGGTGCTTTGCAGTTTTACAGCACATGGATTATATTAATATACATACTTCTTTTGAATAGCATTAAGTTCCTACTCACAGACTGATCTTCCTGTAAATAAATCAAACGTTGATATGGGTGGGGAACCTGCAGCCTGGTGCCTTCATTGTATATCTTTAGGTGGCAGGCAAAAACATTCCTCTTTGCCCGGGCCTTTGACTAATTAAACAGTTTATGGCATTTTAAACTGTGTGCGTGGCCGTTATTGTTTTGTTTGTTACTATGTTGTGTTTTTATATTGTAAACCACCCTGTGAACCTTGGATGGAGAGCAGTATAGAAATTTAATAAAAAAATTGAAACCTCAACAAAATGGTTGCAGGGCGGGTTACAAAAAATATCAAAATTAAATACCACTTAAGATTAAAATCATAAACTGTTATGTATTGAGTTGAATAGTATATTTCTTAAACGTAAACCACAAAAGCAGCCAATATCAAAGTAACAAAATAGCAGCACAGAGCAATTTTGTGTTGTGCTACTTAAATTTTTCTCTAGTATCTTCCATCGAGTTTGCAATAAATCACCCGTTGCTAGTGAAGCACAAAAGCATTTCAGCTTATTCCTACTATTGCAACAGAGTTTCTTTGGCCAGAAGATTGGCTGTCACATTGAAATACATTTACTGATAATAATGTATATTTTGCTCTTCTCCTAAATATATTCAGAGCAGCGGCACTTTCGGGTTATTCATTGTGGTCTGGATACCACATTGTGTGATCTACTTATGGCAGATGAGCACTGTTCTAGGGGGTTGCTCATAAATAGTTTTAAAAAGTGTTCAATCAATGCTATGACATCCACACTTAACTGGCCATGTGGCATGCAATTAGTAACAATGTGTAACAAATCACACCTTCTGGGTAATTCCAAGCGCAGCACGTTATGTTAAAGAGGGTAAATGTCACACTAGAGTAACTAAGCCAGAAGTGGTGGCCACAACCCTGCATGTTTTTCTATAGGAATTTCAGTCTTGATTGACACAACAATTGTTTTAGATTCCCTCAGTCTACAATGCAGACTTCCTCCCTGCCTACCCCGGTCAGTTCAAGCTGAATATGCTCATGTTGACCAAGCCTTTGGAGAATGATTCAGTATGTACTGATTCAGGCTGTCACCGTGTCATTTATTCAGCCTACTTTTCAAAGATATTCCAGGACATGATGTCCTACGCCAGGGCCGTACACAAGGCTGGTTTCAATGTAAGTAGAAAATAGAGACAGATGTACATCTCTGCAATGTTCAAAAGTTCAGATCAGAGTCTCCGACACATGAATGACAGTGAAGCCTCCCAAAGCATTGCCAGACACACACATGTGACCTTTTGCAGACTGCAATATCCCCTTTCTTGCTGCGGGGGCTACAGAGGTGACATGGAAAAAGTAATGTGGAAGCATGCGTCAAACTATTCCAGTAACATTTGCAACAGGCAAATTTATCTGTCGGATGACTTGGTTCAATTATACCAGAGCTGCATAACGTATGTCATAAAAATGATACCCAAAGCATATGGATGGAGGCAATTTATTGGCAATGTCTAGTCAAAGGGGGCAGGGCTTCTTGCATAGAGGCAAAGGATATATATATATATATATGCAGGTTTTGGTGTCCTCGGGTGTCTTCCCGTGTAAAAGTTGGGGTGTCTAGGCGACGTTTCGACGAGGTCTCACTCGTCATCTTCAGGCTGGTGCTTTCGGCTTCTTGTTACTGGAACAGAGCAGGATCTCAGTGTTTGAGTTCCTATAAATACTGTTGAGGGGGTGTGGTGTATAGCCTCCAATGTTCTGGGCAGAGAGGAAGTTCCCAGGTTAGTGTGCCTTTTCTTCTTTTGTTCCTAAATTACTTGAGGGATATCTTGAGTGATTTCTTGAGTGATATCCTGAGTACCACTTAGGTGGGTCATTAGGTGTGGATTAGTTGCTAAAGCCTTCGTGTC